GCACGGTATCATTTTTATGAACCTCCCGATACGTTGAGCAGCGATGTTACTGTGAAGTCTACTATTTCTAAAACAAGTTTGCCTCGTTCAACGATGGTGCTTGATGCCACGACACTTTCAAATTTACGAATTACTGGAGAAGAGCACTCACTTTATGCAACTTTGGATAACTGCTGTACAAAATTCGGCAAACGCTTGCTTCATTATTGGCTTTGCGCACCTAGTTGCGATCTAAATACAATTTTAGAACGTCAAAATGCTATAACAGATTTGATGGATCATCCTGAGCTCTTGCAGGAGCTTCGCGCGTTATTAACTCCGATGCCAGATTTTGAGCGACATTTGGCCCAAGTACATCTTTTTGGCAATAAAACAATAATGCAAAAGCATCCAGACGGACGTGCTATTTTGTTTGAAGAAAAATTGTATAACAAAAAAAAAATTCAGGTAATTTGAGAAATATTTCCGTTATCAATATTATACATTTATTATTATCTTTGTTTGAAAACTTTTATATATTAAATGAAAATATTATTTTGTTTTTTTTACTATATTTTAGAATTTCATTTCAATACTCAAAGGTTTTGAAATATTAACTCAAATTCCCGACATGTTGAAAGATTGTTCCTCTGTTTTGATTAAACGTATCACTCAAACGTCTGACAATGGCGGAATATTTCCCAAGATGCATGAATTACTTCAATTTTTTAATGTAATTAAATTTTTATAAATATTTAAATTTATTTACAAATTGTATATATTTAGAACGCTTTTAACCATGAGGAAGCTGCAAAAACTGGAGTTGTTGCTCCTGAGAAGGGTGTAGACTCCGATTATGATGAATGCGAAGCTAAAATTAAAGATATCAATCAATCTTTACAAGATTATCTTAAAGAACAAGAAAAATTTTTCGGATGTCGTTTGGCTTACTTTGGCACAGACAAAAAACGATTCCAGTTGGAAGTTCCTGAGAGCAACGCTCGTAAGGCGGGTAAAGTCTATCAATTAGAGGGGCAAAAGAAAGGAAACAAACCATGCAGACGTTTTTCTACAAATGAAACAAGGGTACCATAATAATGACTATTGTTTGTTTAACCACTTATATAGATATTATATAATATTTTAGGCATTTCTCAAGCAAATGCAGAATGCTGAAATGGAACGTGATAATATACTTAAAGATCTCGCACGTCGTATTTTCGAAAAGTTTTCAAATAATTATTCCGTTTGGAAATTGTGCACGGAATGCATTTCAAATCTAGATGTTCTCAGCTCTTTAGCAGAGTACGCACGTCAGCAAAATGTATTGTGTATTCCAGAATTTATTCAACCTGAGGATAATAACTGTCAACCATTCGTGGATATAGAAGAGGGTTATCATCCATGCGTATCTTCTGATACTTACATACCAAATGGTATTGTACTTGGTTCTCCTAATGTTGCGCCATTGTCCATTTTAACCGGTCCTAATATGGGTGGTAAAAGCACTTTGATGAGGCAAGTTGGACTACTTGCCGTAATGGCACAAATTGTAAGTTGTCGATAGTGACACTAATGTATAATATAATAATTAATTGTATATATTAATTTAGGGTTCACATGTACCAGCTCAGAAGTACAGACTTTCCCTAGTAGATAGAATTTTTACGCGTTTAGGTGCTCAGGATGATATGTTGTCGGGACAGAGTACTTTTCTTGTTGAATTAAATGAAACATCTTTAATATTAAAACACGCCACTGTACATAGTTTGGTACTTTTGGATGAATTGGGCAAGAAAAAAATACTTTTCTTTGAGAAGAAATCTCTATTAATTTACATATAATAATTTATAGGTCGTGGCACTGCCACTTATGATGGTACTGCTATAGCAGTTTCAGTTGTTAATTATCTGGCAGATATTAAATGCCGCACACTATTCTCAACGCATTATCATAATTTAATTGATTTCTTTCAAAAAGATCAAAGAATTACTCTTGGGCATATGGTAATAAATAAATTTTACTTTATTGGAATTTTAAATTTTAGTTTATATTTAAAGGCATGTATGGTGGAAAATGAAGATGATGATGATCCTACACAGGAAACTGTTACATTTTTATATAAATACTCACCTGGTGCTTGTCCAACATCATACGGATTTAATGCTGCAAAGTTGGCAGGTATGCCAACGCCAATTATCAAGAGAGCATATCAGGTAAAATTTAAGAATCTATTTTTATTCATCTATTTTGTATATCTAAATTCGATAAATATTTACAGCTCTCGAAGAAAGTAGAGGCTATAGCTTTAAAACGAAAAATTACTGCTAAGATTCTGACTTCCGCTGGCGGAGGTTTGTCTGCTGTTACTGACATACAAAATTTACTAAGACAATTCAAAAAATGCAATGTTTGAATTAAATAGTTTTTGTTGTCATCTCAATTAAAATCTACAATTAATGGTTATTAAATGCTGAAATGTTAAATCTCAAATAATTTTTTTTTATTTTATATGAAATATTTTCATGGAATATGACTCGTGCCACTATTTATTTGAATTTTGTGCTTAACTAGTTTTCTTGTCGGTGCTCCGACAAGTGAGGCGAAGAAGGTGCGCTTGGACATTTAGATAACTCCAGCTACTATTGATGACCACCGTAATATAACTAGATTCTTGAATGAGTTTAAAGAGCCATTCCATACCCACTTCCTTCCCGAAGAGAAGAACCTAAGATAAGAGGTCTAGAGGGGCAGAGCCAGGAGGACATCAAAGAGGACCTTGAAAAAAAAGGATTCAGCATTCTTGAATGTCATTTCCTCAAAACTCGACATGCGACTGATAAATTATTAAAAATTCATCTTCCTGCTGATCAGAAGGACATTTATAATGTCTCCTGTGTCTGCCTTCTAAAACTGACAGTCGAAGCCTAGCGTCCGCTAAAAGGTCCTTATCAATGCCATAACTGGCAACAGTTTGGGCATGTTGCTACCAATTGTAGGGCCGCACTCAAATGTGTTAAGTGTGAGGGATCGCACCACCACCAACAATGTACAAAACCTCGTGATGCTGCTTTTAAATGCTCGAATTGTGGTGGTGACCATACGGCCAACTATAGAGGGTGTCCTTGTGCCCCGCAGAATATGAAGAAAAAGAAAGTCCCCACATCGATTCCTTCTATCTTACCTAAAAGCTCTTCTGTTATGCCATCAAGGTCTTATGCTGACGCAATGATGTCAGGCTGCACGGCGTAACAAAACTCCACCAATTCTCTGTCGGCCTCTCATCTAGATAAACTGATGGAGAACTTTCAAGCGCAACTCAACACAGTTGTGAAGATTATAATGCAGACCATGCTGCAAAGCCTGTTACCTACTCTCACTGGGAAATGAATACTCCACTAAGCAGATTTAAAGTTGTGAACTGGAATGCAAACTCTATTATTAACAAGAAATATGTATCATCCAATTACTACATGAATATAGATATCATGTTGATACAAGAAACTTTCCTGAAACCGTCTCTGCAACTGAAAATTCTCAACTATGACATCTATAGATCAGACTAAGTATCTAGAAGAGGTGGGGGAACACCTGCTCTTATCAAAAAATCTATCAAACATCACACAATATCTAACAACCTTCTCGCGCTTGAAGCAACTACAGTGGTGGTGGATAGTCTGGTAGGTTACATAAACTTTACCTCAGTCTATAGGCCACCGAAAACACAAGCCTACCTAGGAGACCTTGAAGCGCAATTTAATTTAATGCTCTAGTAATGAAATTGCTCTAATTATCTCAAGCTTGAAGATAAGATCTGCACCAGGGTACTACAAAATTAACAACAGATGCTTACGTAACCTTCCGGAAGATGCGATCCATCTCATTACAAATATAATAAACTGTATGTTTAGGCTAAGTGAATATCCTAAAAATTTGGAAACAGGCCACAGTTGTAGTCTTTCCTAAACCCGGCAAGGACCCAAAGTTTCTGCAGAACTGGCGCCCGATTACCTTACTGTCAGGTCTGGGTAAGTTAGCTGAAAGAGTGATTCTAGATAGACTTAAAATTTCGGTGAACTCGCTGAATATTCTCCCCGATGAGCAATTTGGTTTCAGGGAAGACCTCTTCACAGAATTACAACTGGTGCAAACAGCTCAGATGATACAGTCTCCCCTGAGCATAAGGGAATCAACGGGTATGATTACTTTTGACGCCGGCTCTACTACACAAAGTCAGGTTCTCCGAAGGGTCTTCAAAGTGCTTTAGTACATCCGCATAAACGACATGCTAAGAGACCTTAGAATAGACCCGATCAAAAAATACATAAGGGACAGAGCCCTGAAGTTATGTGCGAAAACTGACAGGCTATCCTACTTAGCACTATCTAATCTTACAGTAATCACTCTCCGCACAGGGAGGTATGCAGATCTTAGATCAATCACTAAATAATCATGAAGCTTGTAGGGAATACATAAATTAGTCAATGAGATAGGTGGGACCCTGTAGTACCCCCAGATCAACAAGATCAACATACATACAGTAATTTAAGAGTTTTAAACTATATTATATTGTGTTTCGGAAATAAAAAAATATATATTTCAAAGTTTTACATGAATGTATTAAAACAATTTGCTTAAAATGCAAAAAATAATGTGTTATTGTTTAATTATGGTATATTATTTTAATATAAATAGTGTTGGATCACCCATTATAAATTATTTTCAAAGTTTATAATTTTATTACTTGAGAAGGAGCTTTGATTATTGAGAGTAACTCAAATTACGTGTATGTTAAACTTTCTTAAAGTTTTTGTAAAATTTAAATGATCAGAATAAATTGAACTCTACATTAAAACGGTCGTTGTTTCTTTTTCTTGTTGGTTGGTTCCTCTCCTGTATTTTTTCTTTATACTTGTGGAAATTAACAAGACCCTTGTGAAATTACAACAATAATTATAGAACTAGTAAATTTATACTTGTGGAAATTAACAAAACGCTTGTGAATAAGCTAAGTTAATTTCAAATTTTATATTTTCAAAAAGCATGTAACATATATAAAAATAAATAAAGCAAATAAACTAATCAAAAATAAAGCGTTTTTTATAGATATTAATAATAGTCATAAAATAGCATTACTAATGAATATTATATTTTATGTAAGAAAATAGCGCTTTGATTCATTTTTGTCGCAATAGCCCCTCAAAATCCCTTTCGGCTATGTGCCTTTTAACTCATAAGAATGCAACATGTTACAAATAATGAAGTTTTACGAAGAATGAGCTGTGATCGCGAATTGTTAGTAACTATAAAAAGAAGAAAAACAGACTACTCCAAATGATTATTCAGGGAAAAATCGAAAGCAAACGTGGTATTGGTAGAAAACAATTTTCATGGCTACTAAACATTCGGCAATGGGCCCATGTACGAGAAGTTGGCAGCCTTATAAATATAGCTAGACGTAGAGAGCAATACGTAGAAATCGTAAAAGATTTGTAATTGTGCTTATCTAAAGTTAATTAAACAATATGGTATTATGATATATGATCACCAATATTCGAAATCGAATTGGCAAATAAAGAAGAAGCGACTCAAAAATAGGAATTGAAGGAATTCTATAACGTCACAAGAATCTTTGCCGGTAACAATTATGTTCGAAATTTCCCTGTCGGAGCTGAAAATGACGTGGCAGTGACCCCAAAAGAGGAGCAAAGCAGAGTGTGGAGAAGACATTTTGAACGAATTCGAAATATAGTGCATGACGAAACTGATGAATTTTTAATACATAGACGGCTTAACCCTAATCGAGGAAAAAGCACTAGTGATCCATCAATAGAAGAAATCAAGGAAGCTATCGTATCACTGAATTTCCCCCAGAATGTTTTAAAGTAGACGCTGGCTAGAATCTTCTAGCCACTTTTCGAAATGATTTGAGTAGAAGAATGTTTTCCAAATGAATGGAAAGAGTGTATAATAGTTAGGTTACTTAAGAAGGGTGATAGAAAAAAGTGCAATAATTGGATAGGAATATCATTGCTGCCAATAGTAATGAAAATCTGCAACAATATTATCTTGGAGAGAATAGCTTTGATCTTAAATAGTACTATATGTAGCTTCCAGGCCGGTTTTCGACCTGGAAGGTCATGCACGGATTAAATTAACAAGGTGCTCATACTATTAGAGCAGGCAGCGGAATTTAATTCAACACTGTATCTTACATTAATCGATTTCGAAAAAGCGTTTGATGCGCTCAGAAGAGATTACATATGGCAGGCGGTCAACACAAGGGGAATACCGTCAAAAATTGTCAGAATCCTCAAAAATAGCTATGATGAAATAAGATGCAGAGTTTTACATAATGATGAACTAGTTAGTTTAGTTTTCAGTCAACAAGTGGAGTACGTCAGTGTTGCACATTATCACCTTTATTGTTTATCACCGTTCTGGACACAATTTTTGCGACACTAAATGAAAACGCACGTGGCATTAATTGTAGGATGAACCAAAAATTGAGTCATTTGAAATACGGTGATGACGTAGTACTCATTGCCGACAGGATCTACGATATGCAAGCAGGCATTAAGAATCTAAATAATGAATCGAGTAAAGTCGGCCTGAACATTAACGCAGACATTAATGAAGACTAAAACAATGCGCATACCAGCAATCAGAATAGCCTATTTGCCTATTTGTGATACACTGTATGTAAATTACAAATATATTACAATAATAATAATCTGACACCTTCAGATGACACCTATGATGATTCGTCGTAAATCAAGAATTACCATAGAAAACTAAATAATGATATACAAATCAATTGTGAAACTGATTTGGATGTACGAAATCTAATTGTGAAGTTCCCTGCAAAAAGCAATATCGATATCATACAAAGATTTCAAACAAAAGCATTTCGCATGATACTAAATGCACTTTGGTTAGACAGCAATGAGATATTTCATCGTGAACCGAATATACAACATGTGATGGAAGAAGGTCGGAACCAAAGTGCATTGTAAAACAGTCCTCAAGAGAACTGCCCCAACTGAACTGCCAACTACACGGAATATGTAATATTATTATATATTAAGCATAACACTTTTATATTACCCTATAACCGTACAGTATGTTCTTTTTATTTTCGTTAGCATAGGCTAACAAAAATCAGGCTTCTAACTTTTGCGTGTAATGACTATTTAACAAATTTAAATTAAAATAAAAATTAAAAATTATGTTCAGTTAGGCCTGGAATTTGACCATTTGAATTTGAATTAGAACTCGATTGCCTACTGCCAACCTCAACTTCACAATGAACACACCATTACATCTCATGAAGGTTGTGGCCTAGAATGCAAATTCCACAACAAACAAGAAATAGGAGGTTATACAATTTCTTCATGATTTGGAAATAGATATTATGGTCCTGCAAGAGACTTTCCTTAAACCTTCAATGTAGCTAAAATCTCTAACTACATCATTCACAGATCAGA